GGGTCAAACTCCTCCAAACCACAAAACACTCTAAACAAACTATTTAGAGGGCTTAAAAATAGAAATTTTTTGTATTATACACTAAGCACAAAAACAGTTCTAAGATAGGTAAAAAAATAATGCAAAAATGGGGAATATAAAGGCAAGTTTCTTACCCTTGAAGACTTTCTTCAAAAATGGTGGACCAGCTGGTTCTTCAAGCTCAAAACCACCTAAGAATTTCAAGAACAACCTCTTGGAACCTCAGTAGCCAAGGGAAGGTGTAATACTATGTGCTTGTGTGCAGTAGTAAGACACAAATGCACCTAGACACACACAAGAGGGAAAAAGAGAGAGAATGTGTATCAAACCCTAACCCTAAAACTAGAGCTCTTCTCTGTATTTTTTATCTCTAAAATGTCCAACCCTAAAGCCAAGAGGGGAGGGCTCCTCTTATAGAGGAGCCAATCTTGTAAAGCTTACAAGGTAAGCTAACAAGGAAGCCATCCCTCCATACATGTGTATGGAGGGGAACAAAAAGCCATATAGCTGTATTAAAATATCTGTAAAAGCAGATGAACAGTAGTCGACTGCTCAAAATTGCCATTTTGACAAAAATGACTGCCGACCGGCAACAAAGAGTGCCGACCGGCCACATACATTGCCGATGGCAACAAAAACCGGCCGGTGGCCTCTAGCCACTGCCAGTGGCATGTGGGGATGCCTCACAAGGCATTCCCTGCCCCTCCAAGGCAAAACACAAGTGTTTGGTGCAAAACCAGACACAAAACGGTCGAGTTCGGAGATCCTGAGGCAGGGCGCGTAGCCGAGACCTCCGGGAACTCCAAACGAACACAAACATGGATAATCACCGAGTGTTCAAACGGTGACGTCCAAGTCTTGAGGACGGTCGAAAATGGGGTGTCTACAAAATCGTTGTGTTGATTTGTCTTGATTGTTTGATTGGGATTGTTATATACTGCTTAAAATTGTTATATAATCACAAATCAATATCTAGGGGATTTCTAGATTTTTCAGGAGGAAATGTTCGTCGTTGTCCGTACTCCTTTCGTCCAAGCTCCGAATCTATCCGATCAACTTGAGAATACAACAACGGTGAGCTACTCGGCGGTGTGTTGCCAGAAAACCCCTCTGACGGTTAAGTTAGCACACACTCAAGGAGAGAGAGAGAAAGAAGCTGAATGAATGTAAGTTTATCTGACCAAATGATGTTCCATCCCCAGCATGGGGGGCACAGTCATGCTTATATACTTTCTGCGCTCAACTCTGCACCCATTAGTCTCTTGACATGTGGAGCTGCTCTCCCATCTGTCAGCACAAATCCAGCGAACACCACCTAACCAAACCGCCAGACAACATTAGCTGGAACTCGGCATCACCTCGGCCTCACATGACCGTGCTGTGTAACAAGTCCGAGTGCTTCACTCGCCGAGCTCCATAACAACCGAGCTCAGTAGCAATCCAGCAGAGCCGAGTTCAAGACAGGTCGAGCCGGTAAACAGAAGGCCTTTCCCGCCGAGCTAAACGTGCGAACCATGGAAATCGGCTTGGCAGGCGATCATCTCGGCCAAGTAAGCTCGGCCCAGACACGGGACCTGATCCTTGGCCGAGCAAAACCGATACTGGACATGGACAAGCCCAAGTAGCTCGGTCCAAACATGGTCCAGGGCCTCGACCGGGCAAAACCACCTCTGGACAAGCCTAAGTTAGCTCGGCCCAAACACACTTGGCCCTCATTTTTCCCGGCTTCTACCACAGCCCAAGCCAACCTATAAATCTCCCTCTCAATCTACCTGAATTTTACACTGATATATGATTTAAGTTTATGAAAATGCTGTGGGTTAAAACCATGATTTACAAGCCATAAAAACTTGATTTGCCTCTGGATTGATGAAAGAATTGTCACTTGTGGTTTTTTGATTGTGTCAATCTTGTTGAATTGGTTTCATTTGTTGATTTGTTGTGATTATTCATTCAATAGGCAATCATCATTTTCCTTCACGTAAAAGATTTTAAATGCGGTTTGGATGAATTTGCAGAGGAAAAAGAGAAGAAAGTGAAAACTGAGGGAAAAGTGAAAAGGAAAAGGGTAAATTACACATTTATTTAAAATATAAATTACTCTGTGATTTTGGAAATTATATTTCACTCTTTCAAATTTTTAATCTTATAACAAATTATTCATTTTATTAATAAATTAGTAAATCAATTAACAGTTTGTAATGATTTCAAATACATATTTCAATTATAATTTTAAAATTTTTATTGTTGGGCAATTTGTATTTAACTAAACCTCAAGGCACATATTTGTAATTTATCCAAAAGAAAAAGTTGAGGGAAAGAAAAAGGAAAAGGCAAGAAGAAGTGGAAAAGTAAGTCTAAGTTAAATTTTCTTGACTTTTTTCTTCTCTTTTCTTTCTTTTTAAAAATTCCTCCCTCAATCTTGATCTGAATGTAGGTTTAAGGTAACATAACCAGCAACGCTGCGCACCCTGAAAAATATCATGAAAATGAAATGTCAATCAGATTTATTTTGGGTATGATTTACATTGTACCAAGTTTAAATCTAAACTCTACAATCCATTTTTCGGGGTGCACATTTTTTTCATAACGCAGCACAATCTAAGAACTTCCAAGGAAATGGTAGGTAGTGAACTGTCAGCATTATTTCGTGTTCTGTACTGCCGTGTGAGGTGAGAAAGGCGAGCGGATCCTCTAGAGTGAATTGTCTGGAGTGATCTCCTAAAGTAGTTGATCCAACGGCTCAGAATAAAACTCACCAAAACGACGTCGTTTTGGTGAGTATTTTGAAGAAAAAAAAAAAAAAAAATCAAATTTTTTGAAGGTTTTTTTACAGATCAACAATGGCTTCCATTGTTCATCAGACAGGTCGAGCCGGTAAACAGAAGGCCTTTCCCGCCGAGCTAAACGTGCGAACCATGGAACCCGAGTTGGCAGGCGATCATCTCGGCCAAGTAAGCTCGGCCCAGACACGGGACCTAATCCTTGGCCGAGCAAAACCGATACTGGACATGGACAAGCCCAAGTAGCTCGGTCCAAACATGGTCCTGGGCCTCGACCGGGCAAAACCACCTCTGGACAAGCCTAAGTTAGCTCGGCCCAAACACACTCAGCCCTCATTTTTCCCGGCTTCTACCACAGCCCAAGCCAACCTATAAATCTCCCTCTCAATCTACCTGAATTTTACACTGATATATGATTTAAGTTTATGAAAATGCTGTGGGTTAAAACCATGATTTACAAGCCATAAAAACTTGATTTGCCTCTGGATTGATGAAAGAATTGTCACTTGTGGTTTTTTGACTGTGTCAATCTTGTTGAATTGGTTTCATTCGTTGATTTGTTGTGATTATTCATTCAATAGGCAATCATCATTTTCCTTCACGTAAAAAATTTTAAATGCGGTTTGGATGAATTTGCAGAGGAAAAAGAGAAGAAAGTGAAAACTGAGGGAAAAGTGAAAAGGAAAAGGGTAAATTACACATTTATTTAAAATATAAATTACTCTGTGATTTTGGAAATTATATTTCACTCTTTCAAATTTTTAATCTTATAACAAATTATTCATTTTATTAATAAATTAGTAAATCAATTAACAGTTTGTAATGATTTCAAATACATATTTCAATTATAATTTTAAAATTTTTATTGTTGGGCAATTTGTATTTAACTAAACCTCAGGGCACATATTTGTAATTTATCCAAAAGAAAAAGTTGAGGGAAAGAAAAAGGAAAAGGCAAGAAGAAGTGGAAAAGTAAATCTAAGTTAAATTTTCTTGACTTTTTTCTTCTCTTTTCTTTCTTTTTAAAAATTCCTCCCTCAATCTTGATCTGAATGTAGGTTTAAGGTAACATAACCAGCAACGCTGCGCACCCTGAAAAATATCATGAAAATGAAATGTCAATCAGATTTATTTTGGGTATGATTTACATTGTACCAAGTTTAAATCTAAACTCTACAATCCATTTTTCGGGGTGCACATTTTTTTCATAACACAGCACAATCTAAGAACTTCCAAGGAAATGGTAGGTAGTGAACTGTCAGCATTATTTCGTGTTCTGTACTGCCGTGTGAGGTGAGAAAGAGCATGGGTAGTAGACTTTCAAAAAAGTCTTGACTTATGAAGTTTCATTGACGTTTGCTTATTGATTCATTTCTATATTCCAATTACTTACTTAATGTATGGTAAAATTAAAATTTTAAATTGTTTGTTTGCGTTCATTGACTTGTGTGCCAGCATACGTAAACCCACTTGGTTAATAATTTATTAGAGAGAATTATGAAGAGTTATATAATCATTGTAAGTTATAGCAACTTGGCCATGTTAATTTGATAGTCAGACATAATTAAATCAATGTTTCTTGATAAAAAAATAAATCAAAGTTAAATGCCTGCATATTTAGATATCAGTTCATTTACCTTTCAATTAATAAGGTCATTCTAGAGAGGTTCAGATGGGAAGTGTTACATGGCATGAGATCTTTTGTCCCAAATATCTCTATTCCCGTCTCAAAATAGTTACAATTGTGGGATTATGTCTTGAGATTTTCATAGCTCAGCCGTGAGGATCCTTGACTGTGTTCCGTAGTGCTGATAGTAGATATAATTGCACGACTTATTACTTCATTGATCAGATTTTCTGTTAATTTGCTGAACTTATTTCCTCAACTCATCTTAATTAATTATTGCATACTAGTCATTGTTAATTTGTTATTGTCTTTGTCAATGCAGCAAGAAACTCCTTGCTTAAGCTACAACGTGATTAAGGGTTCTATTAAAATTTCGTTGTAGCGTATTAAGGATTCTCTTATCCACCTGCAAAAGTTGAAATTTCAAATAATTTATTTATTCAGTGAATGTCTTATTTATTTAATTATTCATTTTATTAGTAATTTATTAAGTCAATGTTGACTGAATACTAAATGCACAATTGTAGTTCAATTATTAAAATTGTAACAACCATTAATGAATTGTTTTATAGAGTACAGTTATTGTATGTGCTTTCTTTTAAATTTCTTGGTAGTTGTGTCACAAATTCTTGGTTAGCAACAATATGGCTTTATGTAAGAACCAGGAAATTGATACCTAGTCTAGACTTCACTTGACCATGAGCTTAACCATTCACACCCAAATTCCAAAAACAAATCTCAAATTTCTCAAATCAAAAATATCATGAGAGCCTTACCCCTTAGTAACAGTCTTCAACAGAGCCTGAGCATGTTCATGTTTCTTACCATGTCCAAATTGTGTGCTTCTGATCTGTAGCATCTCCCCAAACAAAACTAAGAGAGAGAGAGAGAGAGAGAGAGAGAGAGAGAGAAGTTAGCCAAATGGATGGTTTAAGCAAACCAATCATTGAACATTGGAAGAAGCTCTGGGAAATATGGGATGTCCGGGTAGTCATCCTTGTTAGCCTCTTCTTGCAAATCTTACTAATCTTCTCTGCGCCTTTGAGAAAGCGAATGTCAAGTGCTTTTGTAACCACGCCCTTGTGGTGGGCATACTTGCTTGCAGACATTACTGCTAACTTTGCAGTGGGACTCATCTCCAAAAGCCAATGGAGCACCTCTGGCTCTGAGACTTCTCCAGATCTTCTGGCATTTTGGGCACCCTTTCTCTTGGTTCACCTTGGAGGTCCCGACACCATAACCGCTTTTGCCCTCGAGGATAATGAACTGTGGCTCAGGCACTTTCTTGGCCTGGGATTCCAGTGTTGGGCTGTTATCTATGCATTCGTTCAATCATATCCCTTTAAAGAGCTTTGGCGCCCCACCATGCTCATGTTTTTTGCAGGCCTCATCAAGTACACTGAGCGCACTCGGTCTCTCTATCTCGCTAGCACGCGTAGATTCAGAGACTCTCTGCTCACAGCACCTGATCCTGGGCCTAACTATGCCAAGCTCATGGATGAATACACTTCAAAGATCAAAGCAAAACTTCCCACAAGGATAGAAATGCTTCCAGAGCCTAATCGGGTAATCAAAACTGAAAGTGCTGGAGACAGACGACTTGTCCGATTTGGAGGTGGTGCGACGTGCTTATGGATTTTTTGTAACTTTCAAGGGGCTGATTGCCGATCTGATCTTCAGCTTGCTGAGAACTCAGGCAATGCTGCTGAAAACAATGCTGAGAACTCAGGCAATGCTGCTGAAAACAATGCTGAGAACTCAGGCAATGCTGCTGAAAACAATGCTGAGAACTCAGGCAATGCTGCTAATGCTGAGGGTTTCAATGCTAAGAACTCAGAAAATGCTGCTCAAAACAATGCTAAGAACTCAGGCAATGCTGCTAATGCTGAGGGTTTCAATGCTAAGAACTCAGAAAATGCTGCTCAAAACAATGCTAAGAACTCAGGCAATGCTGCTAATGCTGAGGGTTTCAATGCTAAGAACTCAGAAAATGCTGCTCAAAACAATGCTAAGAACTCAGGCAATGCTGCTAATGCTGAGGGTTTCAATGCTAAGAACTCAGAAAATGCTGCTCAAAACAATGCTAAGAACTCAGGCAATGCTGCTAATGCTGAGGGTTTCAATGCTAAGAACTCAGAAAATGCTGCTCAAAACAATGCTAAGAACTCAGGCAATGCTGCTAATGCTGAGGGTTTCAATGCTAAGAACTCAGAAAATGCTGCTCAAAACAATGCTAAGAACTCAGGCAATGCTGCTAATGCTGAGGGTTTCAATGCTAAGAACTCAGAAAATGCTGCTCAAAACAATGCTAAGAACTCAGGCAATGCTGCTAATGCTGAGGGTTTCAATGCTAAGAACTCAGAAAATGCTGCTCAAAACAATGCTAAGAACTCAGGCAATGCTGCTAATGCTGAGGGTTTCAATGCTAAGAACTCAGAAAATGCTGCTCAAAACAATGCTAAGAACTCAGGCAATGCTGCTAATGCTGAGGGTTTCAATGCTAAGAACTCAGAAAATGCTGCTCAAAACAATGCTAAGAACTCAGGCAATGCTGCTAATGCTGAGGGTTTCAATGCTAAGAACTCAGAAAATGCTGCTCAAAACAATGCTAAGAACTCAGGCAATGCTGCTAATGCTGAGGGTTTCAATGCTAAGAACTCAGAAAATGCTGCTCAAAACAATGCTAAGAACTCAGGCAATGCTGCTAATGCTAAGGGTGTCAATGCTAAGAAGTCAGAAAGTGCTGCTAAAAAGAAGGATTACCGTGAATTGTCTAAGCTCCTGTCTAATTACATGTTATACCTTCTAATCATGCAGGCAACAATGATGTCCACTGTGGCAGGTATTGGGCAAATAAGATTCCGAGACACCTGTGCTGAGGCCAAGAAATTCTTTCGTGGAAGAAAAATAAAGAAGGACAAGAAGAATTTGTGTCTCTACAAGTGCTTCTGTGGCAGTGAATCGGAACACAAGCAGCAAAATCAAACCAGCCCAAAAGCCCCCACTGCCCAAGAGCAACGAGGAGAGGAAACGACATGCTCATGCTTGAATATCTTTTGCTGCTTTAAGATATGCTGTTGCAAAGGGGATTCAGTACCAGATAAAGTGCAGAAACATGCCTGCAATAGTATCCTTGGTGTTGATACAGCAGTAAAACCAGTTGCTGTTAAAGGAGATAGAAGCAAATCTGTGTTGTTTGATGCATCCATGTTGGCCAAAGAGATGAATAAATTAGGAGAGGAAAAAAAATGGGAGATAATGAGCAAAGTTTGGGTCGAATTGCTGTCCTATGCAGCGTGTCGTTGCAGAGCCATTACCCATGCCTCACAACTCAGCAAAGGTGGGCAGCTCATCACTTTGGTTTGGCTGTTGATGGCTCATTTTGGGTAATTGCAGGTAATATGCAGTCCCCTTCATCCCTTTCCCCGCTTGCTAATATATATAAACTAATTTCTATTCTTTTCTGTAATTTAAGCGTAACTGACATGTGGATAATCGATGTTTCATTTCTTGAATCTATTGGCATTCTCTAAGATCATGAAGAAGTATGACAAGGTTTCACAATTTTGTTTTCACGATAATTGAACTGAACTGTAAAGTTATTAAATTTTGTTGCTTTTCCTTTTCGTATTATTAACTAAATCACAGATCACTTCAAGGAATGCATCGAAAGTTTTATTAGAGATGATAGACAAATCTTATATCGGCAGCTCTGATGAGGTTTGATGCACTTCACAAGTTTCTGTCTAATCTCAGTGGGATTAAATCTCTACTTTCTGATCCATAGAAATGGTAGAGGTCAAATAGAAATTGCAGAAAAAGGAATTAATACTTTGGTTGAGTCTTAAAAATCTGATCTCTAAAAAAAATTCAAAACTAGTTTGGTATAAGAAGGAAAAAAAAACTCAAATTCATATGGTTTCTCTTTTTTGGGACGGAAATAATCTTTGAAAATTGAAAATATCGAACAGAGAATTTCTTGGGTAAGACTTTTGTTGCAAGAAGATATTGGACATTTTTATCTCAAATACTCAGCAGCAAATGCTGCACAAATTTCTGGTATTGTTGTTGTATTAAACAAGTCATGAACATGACTGATGCACACATAACTTAGGGACCATTCTATATACATTGTCAAAAAACTTATCAAAGAGGGCTAATAGAAGAATTTTGGAGAAAACTTAGGTAGCCATGGCCTCTAGGCTCATACATAGCTCTGTCCTTGGTCGTCTGCACACTCACCTCGAAAGAGAAGGAAATTTTCATTGGCTATATATTTCGGCCTCACCAACATTCTATATGAAATTAAGTACGTCAAAACTGGGCGATTCACAAAGGAGTTAAGAAACTTCATTTTAAAGGTTGTGGTACCTTACTTCCCTTTTCTTGAGGCTGATCACCATGAATCTTATAATGTCGTAGCACATTGCCATTGAGCTTTGCTATAATACTTATAGATTCAATGCTAAGAACAGTTAATTTCGTAGAATTTTCTAAGCTCTTGTCAGATTACATGCTATATCTTCTAGTTATGCAGCCTACAATGATGTCTGCAGAGGCAAAGTATTAGCCAAATAAGATTCAGAGATACTTGTGCCGAATTCTTATGCAGGAAGGAAAATATTGTTTAGGGATGGGGCAGGAGGAGAAGCAATCTTGTCTCAATACACTACAAGAAATTCGTTTTTTAGCGGCGTTTTAAAAACGCTGCAATAATCCTGAAAAATGCTGTAATATCTTATAGCAACGTGTAATATTTTCGCCGCTGATACAGCCGCCGCAATAGCTACACAACGTTCGAAAAACGTCGCTAAAAATATTATACGGCGTTTCTTAAAACGCCACAAAATCTTTGACGACCGTCTCGCCTTCCATCCCAAATTAACGTGTGATGTCACAATGACGTCATTTAGTGGCGTTACTTTTTTTTTCTTTTTTTTATTTGCTGCACGAATTTAATGTGTGATGTCACAATGACGTCATTTTGTGACTTTTTTTTCTTTTTTTTTTTTGGGAGGGGGGGTTGGTTCCCTGCTGCTGGTGGAAACTGAATTCACAATTTGGGATCTCATGTTTTATGTTTCCTCTATGCAACCAAACTGCTAGATTTAAAACCAATCCTCAATACATGCCATATACATGCATAATGTAATCTTACCAGAATCATCATTTCAAGTGAAAATTTCACATCTAGTGTCATATACATGCATATTGTCAACTAAGACATCTAAGCAACCATGAGTCTGTAACACATTGTTTCCATAGGACGCAATTCAAACAAAGGATTCCATGTCCATGTTGAGTTTTAGAAACTCAAGACAACCAAAAAAAAATCAAGTCATCAAACCTGACCAACAAAGGATGACAAGAAATGAGTTTCTCTTGGTCATAAATTTTAAGATCTTCCAGTTTTATATCAAGTGAAATGTCTACGTCGACTTTTAGATCGATTTCTGGGCCGAGGCTCGAATCAAGAGAAGTCATGTTTGCAATCCTGTATTTTCCTATTACAATGCATGCGACATGACACCATTCACCGCTAACTCTTCTCTAATAGGTTGGTTCATCCTACTTTCCCATTAAGGAATGCACAGTCTATATTGTAAAAAGTAGCTCATACCGCTCTATCCATCTCTAACGAAATTTCGGCAGCATCTCCCCATGATTCTCCAAGTACACGGCATAGACTAGGTGTACTGCTACACCTTGTCTAGTATGCACTCAGAGAACATGAGAAGCCACTACATGAAATCTCTACGAGATGGACTACATTTAAGCGGTAGAACTACTAATTACAACATAGACTTGTACTCCTGAACTGTCCCAATTGGACAATCCAAGAAGAGCTTCATCAAAGATGACTAGGTATCTCTAATGAAGATTCTTGGATGGGTCTAAGGCTATTTATGTATGTATGGATAATTACTTGCTAAATCAACAGCTGTCATGATTATTGCATCCCGGTGGTGCAACCTGAATTAAAACTATCAAGCATACTAGAAGCATTTCTAGCATGAAGCGTATTAATGAAGAAACTAAAAGTTTCTACAATGCTCTTGATAGATTATGATATAGAGATTCATAAAAAATGACTAGGTATCTCTAATGAAGATTCTACAAGAACAACCAGATTATCACAAGTAAGCAACGAAGTTCTCACTACTACATGAACACCCACACATACCAATATATCTTAGAAGTGTTCTATTTCATTTCTATAACACCATTTTTGTTATGTCATGAACACCCACACATGCTTGGCATCAATCAATAGTGTTGAATATTGTTATGTCATCCTATTGTGATCTATTATAAATTGTATATGCACAAACACAAGAAAATATCACAATTACTGTTAATCAGCTTTCAAAATCTTAAACCACGCCATTTGTTATTCTTTTATTTGATTTTCTAGTGAGCGATTTTTCACACAAGGCCTCTAGATTCAAAATTGCATCTGTATTTGGTTCCTTGGGCCAAATTTATATGTGTTTCATTGACGTCTTGTAGCTGCTCTTAAGTAGTTAATTATTCAAGAAGGATAAGGATTCTGAGTTCAAACATGAAATGCTTCCATGGTTTTCGTTTATCTGAGTTATGCAGTTTTAGAATTGCATTGAGTTATCTAAATAGGTCCCACCACTCATAAGGAGGAAGTATGGGTGCTAAAGATCAATGATTAAGGAAAAAGGAGAAAATTCAAATCTTTTGCCTTTTCTCTAATATATGGTACTATTGCTTCTTATCTAAAATCTTTCTCCCAAGGGTCATTATATGTATCAAAAAACAGAAAAGGAAAGGAACCTACACTATGTTAGCCTTCATGGGACAACTACAGGAGTTGTATAACTGAGGTAGGGTTGGATTTAGCATAACTTTTGATGTATGCAGATAAGAGGTAGACTTAATGGACCCTGTTAAAGGCCCAAGATGGCACAGGCACAGGCTTTGAGGGGTCAGACTATCTCTTTGCAGCGAGGTCAGCCCAGTCAGATCCGTTGGGCTCGCAAGCACTCACACTCACCTAATCAAGAGGCTGACCTGGTTGGGAAACAATTCTATGTAGTGCGTCTAGGAAAGCCGACCTGACCAGGACTATGTTATGTTTTCTGTACGTTATCTCTTACACACTCTTGCTCTCCGATTATCTTCTTCCGCAAGCATATCTAACTTAATTGTTGGAGGGCCCTTGAGGAGGACACCCACCAATGGGTTCTCAAGAGTTTGTTTGTAGGTCTCTCAAGGAGAAGCCCATCACTCGTTAATCAAAGTCCAGCCCGACCACCGATTCAGTCTATTCCACAGACCATTTGATTACTGATATCCTCAACTTTCTAAGCCCAAGCTAGGCTCAAGCCATCTTGGGTTGTAACAGTTGCTTGAAACAACTGTAGAACTCATATATTTGAGAAAGAGTTGGGTTTTGAACATAGCTTTCAAAACCAGCATTAGGCTCCCGCCATGTTTCAATCTTAAGGTTCTACAAATTAGTTTAATTGTATTTCGCATATATATCCTTAGCATGCTTCTGGTGCACCCCTATTCAGATGGAGTTTGCATTTTCCACCTTAAGTTGCAGCACTTGAATGTTATTTAGCTATCCTTTCTTGGACTAAGAAGCTTTTGGGTCAGCCTATCTTAAACTGACCTCATTATTAGGATTTCATTTCCCCACTTCTTTAGTATCATAGTACTAGCTAAGGTTAGCATGTCTTATTCTGTAATTGCTCAACCGAACTGTAAATTACACAGGTAAACCATCAAAGGGACAAACCCAAAACCAACATGACCCACTTATTTAAACTGCAAGACAACCCCAACAACAACAACAGCAACAAAAATTAAACAAACCATTATGTTGGTGTGAGAAAGGCCAGTTTTGAACTCCAGCTTGTTTCACAAGTGCTTTGTAATCAGATTACCACCAGTTCATTCAGAAGAAATGTCAATATAAACTGCCTGATGTAAAGTGCTCCACGCGGGCTGGTGGCATTGTGTAATATTCACAAACTCTAGTAAATACAACTGAACTGACACATATAAAGAGCTACTTTTCTTCAGAAGTGCAATCTATTAAGAGTGATCATGACTTGCATGAATGAATGCCATAAAGAAATTTATACATGGTTATCATACACATCAGGCAAGACAAATGTGGAGAACAACCTCTGACTACTTTTTCTGCATTATTTCAAACTGTTACTAGTAATTCTCTGATCTCTGAAATACATTCTACCCTTTCACATCAGTTCTATGTCACATTTATTCTCCAAATACAAGTCAAACTGCAAAGAAGAAGGTTTCAGCTAGCCTTGTATTTTGAACAATTTAGATTCACATACAAACACAAGCCAATCCAAAAGTAACACCTACTGAAATCTGGAACTCCA